ATCCCCTGGGGGCTCTAATATAATGGGTGCTTTAATATATATAGGTGGGGGCTTCATATTAGCTTCATATTAGCTTCTTATATGTTAAAGTAGGTATTGTACAAGCAGTGATACTGGAAGTATCATCTGCTAAAAATGTTTTTGTACTGTGAATTTAGATTTTGATAAATAGAGATACCAACCACCTCTGCTTGTGCCTTAGAAAGCTGAGACTCCACACTATCTTCATCACCTGACTTGTTCCTTATTGAACACAAGTGGCAAAAGAAACTGGTTTCAATTTTATTTTCTTGATTTGTTTTAAGAAGAGCAACAACTTCCTCTTCCAGCATTGAGCAGCGTCCAGAAAGTAGTTTAACCTCCTCTGGTACCAAGCATTTAAGAGTAGTTAAATAAATATCACAACATACATGAAAGTCAGAAAACAATTCATTCTCTCAATGAATCTACTGTTGATGTACCTTTAATAATTCCAGCCATTTTTTCAGCATGCTGAGCATGATGTTTGTCCCTTAATGCTTCTGCCTCAGTTCTGGCTAATAGAGTGCTCTGGATCAAGATGCAAAGACGTGTTATTACTGAACAGCAGATAAAAAGAGAGCTTTCACAATGTTATTAATTACCAATTCTTGAGATGAATCATTACTGTCAATATTTTTTGACCATAGCTTTTTATTAACATCTTCTAATCTTCTTGCTAAATCGTGTTTTACATCTCTCTCTTGTTCAAGCTCAGTCATCAATTGCTTTATCTTCATACTGGATTTATTCTCCTTCAGACAAATGAAAAAAATTGAAAAAAAATGGAATGACTGACCTTCATACCTAACACACAATGCAAGTATGCCTACACTTATTTCAAGCTGCCTGAGGAGCTGGTTGTACTTGAAAGCAATTTCTTCTCTTTGTTTATTTGCAGCAATTAAGCTTGCAACAGGCACACTATTTATTGACATCATTTGCAAATCGGTCATACGAAGAAGTGAAGTTTTCTGTCAAAATGTTCAGAAACATGTATGCAATATAAGTATTTTCCAGAAATCAAGACCTAAAAACAAAACGATGAATTGCATTGGTCGATACAAACTTTAAATTTTAACAGATCTTTCATCTGTTTCATAAGTCTATCTTTGCTTGTATTCCATTCCGATTTGGTTACTTTGCATTGATTCTTTGTGTTCTGAGCATATTGGAGAGCTGACTTGGCAATTCTACAGTATTTCTCTTTTTCTGCCAAGAGATCAACTGCATTGTAAATGTCTTTTACAATTCCACTTTTGATTTCATCCTAAAACAAACAGAGGGATTCAGCCATATAAATTATGAACTGAGTTCTCATGCTACTAAGCCCCTGACATAGCATCCAAACCCAAGGAAAACATATGACCATGATGACCTCATTGTGATCTCTTTCTGACAAGTAAGGTCACAGGTTTTGCACTTGTGACGTTACAAGTGCTAAAGTCGTGACCTCGTACGTCATAACGAGATCACAAATGAGATGATTGTGGATACAACATTTTCCTTATGGGAATATGTTGGAAGGAAAAACCCACCTGAGCGGCAAATGTATCCCACAAACTGCTAAGTTGACTTATTCTTGCTTCAGAGGCAGCCAGGTTTGCTTTCATTGACACAATGTCATCTTCCAGTTTTGATTTCTCCTCCTCCCATCTCTGTTTCTCTGTATTCTGTTGCTGAATGGTCTGAGTAAGTTGAGAAACCACATCATCTAGGTGAAGCTGAAACTCTTTTTGTATCCTCACAGTTTCGTTCATGTGAGATTTTTCAACTTCATTCTCCTACCCGCCCCCCCAAAAAGGAAGATGGGAGTTAATGTAAGTAACACAACTTAAGAAATAATTGTCTCATAAAATAAAGACATTGAAAGAAGTAAAGTGTATACATGTAAAACTTGCAGAAGATGGTTGTTCATCTTTGAAATGAGATCACATCCTTGAGCAGAGAGTTCTACTGGAAGAACAAAGGGTAGAGATTCTTTTTCAGTTTTCAATTTTTGACTACAAGCCTCATCCGTAGGATGTGAAGGTGCCTGCGCTTCTGTCATGTTTCCTTCCAATTCTGCAATGTGAAGTTTAGCCTTATGTAATTCGTCTTGTATTTTTAACTCTTCCTCCCTACAAACAAAGAATTTCTTTGATTAAATACAACTTCACACATATTTCAAATTAGAAACTTGGATTCTGAGATTTTGCAGACCTCATGCTATGCAGTTGCTCTCTAAGTGCTTCATTACTCCCCTCTACAGCATTGACTTTTGCCTGTATTCTCATTGCAGGATGGTACCACCCACTGATATGTCGACTATCCAGAGCATGTAGTAACTGTTCCAAAACTTTTGACTCTAGTCGAACATTACTTTTCCCTGAAAAATTCAGATGATATAAAAATTTTAGAATAATAAATATTTAATAGTTGTAAAAATGATTACCCTGTTTAGCTCACCATCTTGATTGTGAACGCTGTCCAAAATATCATGCAATCCTTGCCTCAAAGCTTCATTTTCTTCAATTAACACTTGGTGTTCATTATCCAGTTGACGTTGCTCTTGTTGGAGAGCTCTTATCTTCCTGGCTGCTGCTCTGGCATCAGCTTGCTGTCTATTTTGTTGCTTGTTTCCTACACATTCAAAAAAAATTTCTGGATTGGTTAAAATTTTGAAGGACTATGTTTTCATAGCTGTTTAATTACTCTGATCTCTTGCAAAAATTTTGCAATTATTATTGAATGTTTCAGGACACTTATACTACTGCCATTTTTATACATGTGTAATATGCACCATATCATATTACGTACCTGGTTTTTGAACATCTTGAGGGTGTTTTTGAAAATCACAGAGTTTGTTCTTGAGAGATAAAATTTGCTGACTTAAAAATCGCCTCTGACATAATGCAAAAGGGAAAAAAATAAAATAGTAACTTTTAGAAATTGAGAGGGATGAAAGATCAAAAATTTAAGTTTACTATCATAAAAGAGAACATACATCCATCTTAGCACTAATCAAATCTTCCTCTAAGCGGTCAATACGCTGCTGTTGAACTTTATAAACATTTTGTTCTTTATTCTTTAGTACAACAGTACTGGTTAGAACTTGCTCTTCAGGAGAAATATGCAGCCTTTCCCTAGAAGAAAATGTAATATTTGACAAATTGAACAAAAATTGGACAACATTAAATTTTCAATGTTATTGCCGGCAAAGAGACATTGTAAATGTAGGTTTATACCTGAGGGTGAGATTCTCTTCCTGCAAGCAATCACTGGTGTGTCTCAAGGAGTTGGCTGTCTCAACAAGCTGCTCTATATGTTTGTCACGTACAGCTTTTTGAAGAGACAACTCTTTAATTTGAGCTAGAGCCTCAGTAAGACCAAATTCTCCTGCTTCATAGCCCCGTAATTGTATGATTAACTTTGTGATCTGAAAGAATTTGAAATATTAGCACGAGGGCTCAGATATAATACAACCTACAGGTCAAATACAACCTCCACTCAGCAATCTGAGTAGACATGATGGCTCAGATAAACCCCTTCACTCTCATTTGACAGCTTCACAAGAGTGACAGCAGTGCTTCTGAGTTGCAGTGAAGTGACTGCATCTGAGCATATTGTAAAGTGTAGGGTCAAAGTGAGCAGTATGGATCCTTAATCAGACCTGCTCTAGCTTTCCACAAGGGATTCAAATAATTTTCAATTATCAGAGACAAATCAAAGAAGAAATCACCTCTTCGGATTTACCAACAGCATCATTTTCAGCATCTTGCAGCTTCTCTTCAAGAATTTTAATTTTTTCTTCTGCTGCTAATAATTGTTTTTCTGTTACTTCAATATCTTTTGGAACTGGGCCAGCCTGAGATCTTTACAATAAAACAACAGTTAATTTTACCCCCTGTAAATGAGTTGTTGCAGGAATATAGTTTCCGCAGAACTTACAATTCGGAAGCTCTGTGCATGTTCTCTAATAGTGAAGTGGTTTCATTGAGATCTTTAGTGGCTTGAGTAAGCTGAGATTGAAGTTCATCAATTTGAGACTCCCTTTTTTGCAAGGTCTATAAGGAGTAAAATAAAGAGGAAAAGATAACTTAGCAATCTATGAACGCAACAGCCTTAATGATAATCTGATATGAAAAATTAAACTTACTTGAGACAGAAGAATGATCTGTTCTGACTCACAGTTCTTCATGATGTACTGTCCTTTCAGACTTTGATGGGTCAGTTGTTCCCTTAGGTCACTCAACTCTCCTTCTTTCAGAATGGCAATTTCCTTGAAAAGGTGAAGACACCATACGTTTTAAGTTGAAAAGTATCATGTAATACTTATTCGATTTGGTTGCATAGTGGTACTTGGTACTAACCTTCCATTCCTGAATACGGACATCAACTTCCTCCTCAAAACACTCGAGTTCTGCGTCTCTTTTTTCTTTTTCACTTACAAGCTCTTGAATTTGTTGGCTAAGAGCTTCGCACATTTGTTCTGAATGACGCAGTTTCTCTGGAGGCATAAAATTTATGAAGTGAGCAGAGAAAAATGAAAATACAAAATACCGCACATGTATCAAATAAGTCAGTTGATACCTGAAAGTTCTTCCTTGGTAATTTGGAGAGTGACTATATCTCCTGTAATGTGCATAATATTTTTTGTGGCTTCAGCAAGTTCGATCTTTACATTTGTGAGCTTCTCTCTCAAAACAATATTTTCTTTTTCCGATGTCTAAAATGAGGTAATAAAAATTTAAAATGGAGCCAAATTCACCAAACACCAGTCTGGATGTCTTTTACCTAAATCCATACCTCAATATCATTCAAGAGATGAGACAAGTGTTTATTTTTCTGTCGCAGTGACTCAACAAGCTGATGGTGTTTTTTCTGTGGTTCTTGCATGTCAGTCTCTACCTCCTTGTGCTGATCATGAATCTCTTCTTTCAAGGCGGATAGTTCTCGTTTGAGCTGGAGTCGGTCATTTTCAATTGCAGCGAGTTGGCTTTCCAACTGAAAATAATGAATGCAGAAAACTTAATATGGAGCTAAGTTTTCCCTCTCAACAACAAATTTAAAGCCAAACCTTTTCAATTTCAATCTTATTTGATAATTGCTCCTGTTCTTGGGCTTGTACCTCAGCAAGCAGTTTCTGAGCATTGAGCTCAGATACATGCAGGAGCTGCCGAATGTCATCTTCAGATTCAACACCTGGAATTGGAACAAAATTAAATTGAAGATAAAAAAAAATGTTTGCAGATTTGTCTACTCTGAAGAGGTAACCAACCATTTTGGATGTTTTCTCGGGAGCTCTTAGTAAGCTGCGCTCTTAAATCGTTAAGCTCTTGAACAAGACGTGCCTCCTCTGCACCTTGTTTTGATGCCAACTCATCTAATTCCAAACCAAGGCTTATGACCTGTGAGGAGATAACATGAACTGCTGGATCAGTATTGTTAGGCAACAAAATTTAACCTGAACCAATAACAAAATATATCGAGTACTTGTTCAATTACCTGTTCTACTTTAAAGCCCAAACATCTTTGCAAAAGTTTCACAGAACTTTTCAATTGGTTGATGTTATTTGATTTGTCTAAGTTTTCTCCACATAAAGACTGTGCGATATCATCCCTTTCATCGTCTGTAAGGTCATCAAAATTGATATTCAAAGGAATTGTAGAGTCCATTGACACTGGACAAATTAATCAAGTAGCACAACCTTCCTAACCAGATTGTATGTTTGTGTTTGTGTTGTGACAGTTGCTAGTTGCTATGAACAGGAATGGTTGCTAAGGAAAATAACAAACTTGCAGAAAAAGTAGATAGGATGTAGGTATATGAATTTAGTTTTTTTAAAACATTGTTAGGTTGTTGACCTCCAATTTTGAACTTTTAACATGACTAGCCATTTAATAATCTCAGAGTGGGCGTCTTTAAAGTGAAAGAATGGTTTAAAAAAATAACAAAATAAAAACAGCACTAACTTCTACTTCAACCCCCTGAGTTGGCGGCAGCGGCTGCTACCACAAACAAACAACAACATGACGTCGTGCGCGCTGTGACGTCAGCGACAACAGCAACAACAACAGCTGCTCTCATAACGTTTTACGTAACGGGCGGGAGAGGGCGCGCCGGTAACATTTGTTGTATACTCTGTTCTGTTCAGGTTCGCCATAACTGGTCGGTGGTCTCAGCACCTGTCAAAGGTGAAGTGACGATTTCCTTCTCCTTGTCGGAGCAGCCTACCTCTTTTCCTCCAGGAAAAAGGAATCGGTGAGTAAATCCCGCACTAATCAGTCGACTCGCGCTACAGCCCTTTCTGCTTTCTTTTCCTCGAGAAAGGGGTGAGATGTCGGATGTGTGTGTATGTCAAGAGCAGTCCATTACAAATTCGCACGGCTGATGCCTGTCGTCTGAGGAAAAATCAACCATTTTCCCTTTTCAAGCAGTTTGTTTAGAAAACAATTTTCTGTGTCACGCAATTATATTATGTCGAGGGTGAAATGCTGAAGACTCCAGCGTCTTGAGATTCGAATGAAAAGTTAGTTTTCTTGACGGGCCAAGACGTTTTGATTTGGCATATGTTTATATTCACTTTTGACATGAATGCAAGGCGCGGTTAGAACACTTTTTGTTGAAAGTATTCAATCAGTGGGGGCTGATGTGATGCGTTTGGGGTTCGGTTTAATTTGTTTATCGTAAAATCTCTGTAAATCTAAGTTCATGAAATTCGAAATCGTACGTTGGTGAAATAGGCGCAGGGGCAAGACTGCACCCCGTGCATTTTAGGCCATCCCTAGCCTAGCGCGACACGGTGTGTTTGGTCTGTGGCCTATGCTTATGGCACCCTTTCGTAATTTACAATAGCAGCTTGCCTGTTACTTTCACTTTACATTTTTCGTGTTAGAAAGATATTCGTGTGAATTGATTGTGGTGTTGAACAAATAAAATACTCTTCATAGGCTCCTGACAAGGTACTACACACACACACACAGACTGAGAAACTGGGATCAGAGGCAAATTATGTATTAATGTAATATATCACAAAGCTGAACAACTGTATCTAATAATGGTATATTTTCTCTCATTTTGTGTAGGTATTAATATGACTGTGGGACCTGGTACTTATGCCCACCGATATATTCCAAAAAGAAATGCTCTTAAGAGTGGCCCTGCACAGAGCAGCTCAAATTCAGGGAATCCATCATCAAGCTCTGCAAGCACATCAGGACATCCTTACAAGCGCACTCAGCCCAGTTCATCTGCCTCTACTGACCCACCGGGAAACATAGGGCCTAATGTCTCCGTAAGTTTTAGATGATTATTCTAGACAGCACATTTTTCTGCAGGATGAGTTTGAAAGAAGTTTTTTTCCCTCTAGAATTCTACCAAAATTGGTCAAATGGCTCCAGTACTAGTTCCTGCCCGCCGCCCTCATGCTGTAGTTCAGGGTGCTCAAAATCCTGGTGCCTTGGGTCCTCCTAATCCCAGAGCTGAAAAGAGGCGCTTTATTCAACAGCATTTGGTTCTGATATTGCATGCTTTCCAGTGCAGACGCAAGCAACTTCATGAATTTGTAAGTGTTTGGACATATCTTCTGGAGTTACTTTGCAAATTTTGTTCCTTTCTTTAACTAATATTTTTTTCTTTCACTTTTAGTGTCAGCTTCCACACTGCGCAACATTCAGAGAAGTACTTGGTCACATGAGCACCTGCCAGCAAGACTTAGCATGTCATTTTCCTCATTGTACATCTTCTAAACAAATATATCGCCATTGGAAAACCTGCCACCGAGCTGACTGTTCCATTTGTGTTCCAATAAGATTGGCTGACCGCCTTGAACGAAATCACTATTGAGATTTCTAGCAGGTTAAAACTCATGACAAAATTTAGTGAAAAAAATGACCTCAAGCCATAACAATCTAAAATATCAGACTTAAGCCTTCTTTCTTAAGTTACAGGCATTTGTTATTGATTGAATTGGTGGATTTAGTGAGTTTCAAATTTCAACATAATCTGTTTTACCAGTTAAAAGTTCCACATGCTACTCGGTCCACACCATTTGTCCCCAATGTCTCTTAGCTATTGTGGTTTGAGGTTTTCACTCCGTTCTTCTCACAATGTTTGGGATATCACAGTTAACTTTAATTCTGTGCTTCATTTAACTATTTACTGTTTTCTTCAGAATTAGTCCTGTGCAGTTAATGCATCTCTGTTTTTAAATTATTTTGAATGACGCTAGTGGATTGTATCAATTTTCATCCAAGCTTTAAATAGGTATTTCTTGGATTAGCTGCATACTAATTCAGCAGCTTTTCTGAAACAGTCCTGAAGAAAAAAAAAAAAACAACCCCAAAACTAGCAGATATTCTTCATGACCACCATTGCTTTACTCCATTATATTTAGGATATGAAAATATGATGACTTGATTTCATTGATGTTAGTGCAGTAGTGGATGAGTGACTACAGTTAGTCTTGACATGAATCATGTTCTCCATTCATGAGTTACATGGCACAAAACGTTTTTCCACAACATTTATATTTTGCTGGTCTTTTCTTATATGCAATTTCTCCCTCAACCATTTTTCTTAGATACCTTGAACTTGTTTGGTTTTAATTTAACAGCATGTGTGTTTTTATTGTTTTCTTGTCTAATTTTTAGTAGATTTTCTTCTTTGACATTTTATGAAAGATTTACATGTGACCTTTTCTAGGCCTTTATTTAACAAGTGGAATGAGTTAAAAGAATGCATGGTTAAATTAATTAAATTTGTACATATGTATTAAAGAAGTAATGCAGGTTTGTTAACAAAGAGAATGTTTGTATATAGTTCATTGAATATGTTCTTATCTGATATCTGTGATGTTTCTTCTATTATCATGATCAAAGTTCTTCTTATTACATTCTACTTGACTGGTTCAACTTTTTTTCCACCACAAACATTTATGTGGTAAATATGAATTTTTTATCAGTCAAAAATGACTCAGCCTAGCAATCTCAATCATGAACACAAGTGTTTTGTCAGTTTGATCTCGCTTGCTAAAGTATAATTGTTTTAGAATGGTAATTTTAGAAAGACTTCATTATGTGTAATGATTACTGCCCAATTAATCAACCAACTCAATAGTGTTCTGTATGTCCTTTGTCAGCTGACATGCATCGGACTTGCTCTGAGGTCAAACTGGAGTTCTTGAGTGTGGTTCCACAGTATGTCAGGTAGCTGCTAATAATAACTTTTTATAGACTATATTATGCATGTAAAGTTGTACATGGCCAGGTAATCCATTATCCACTTGTAGGTTATCCCATTTTCTTGTCTAGTCACTGTCTCATGATGGTTGTGTTCTTTATTAGTTGTGGTCTTTACTGAGTCCCACAAGGTTTTAGAAAATGTTCTGTAATACTGTTTTTCTTTTTGTTTGGATTTATAGTTGTTTGGGAAAAGAAGTAAAGGTGCAACTTTGTCCACTCTTTTCATATAAACTGAATGACTCTGATCTTGAGCTTTTCTTAAGAGATTTTCAAGGATTGAAAGAGAAGTAATTTCCAGTTGGACCTATCTTTTATTATTTTGAAAATGTTGTGTTTATAGAATTTGCTGGTATCCGCCAAGTTGGACACTTTTACAATAGCTTCAAAGTTTGCAACTTTTACGTGAAATGTTTATTTAAACTACTGTAGGTATATTATTTAGATGGGTGGTCATCTGAAGACTCCTTTCTTACTAAGAGTAAGACTGCTTTGATGTATAAGCTTCTCAGATTTAGAAAATACACAGTGGTGTTCTGATGTCTGCCAAAAATATTTGGAATTTACAAGATAAAGCTTGGGAAGTAAATGTAAGCGTTTTGTCCTTTTAATTGTAGACTGGTTAGCTGGGGTTTTAACTTTTTTGAGATGATAGCATCCCTTGGTCTTATTGTTTTTTTGTTTTTATTTGTTTTGTTTTTTTGTCATATTGAATGGGATTTTAAATTCTATGCAATTAGCAACTCTTACAGAAATTAGTTTCTTAATTTGTATTGGATAAAATTACTTGGAAAAATGTAACCTGCAAGCAGTATTTGCTTTTTACATTATCAACTTTCAAATTGCTGCTTGTTATGAGAGCAATTTTCCTAGACAAGTTATTGGTTTCAATGCAATTATGCCAATGCATCTAATGCAATTACATACCTCCTGTTGGAGATGTTCAAATGTTGTTCAATGTTTTTTCTTGTAATGTTGCAGGAAATATTGAAATATGTCCAAACTGATTGGTTTTGTCCATGTGTTCATCTTTAAGCATGTGCATTGCACTGCACCTATGTATATGGTTTTATTAATGTTTTATTATTGGGATTTTTTAAAAACTCTTGATCTCAGTGCATTCCTTAGAATGTTGTTTGATGCAAATGTTACGCATTTGACTTTGACCTGTCTGTAACTATCCCTCATTTAAATAAATTGAAAATAAACCTTATGCTTGTTTGGTTTGATTACTCTAGTTGTGCGTTTATCAGCACCACTAGATAAAAGAGTCAACCGTTCGGTGCTTCCGCCTGACCGGCCTGACCTCTGACGAAATTTAATTTTCCCGGCTACCAGTAGTCTCGCAGCGGATGCCAATCACAATCACATCACAAGACTACAAACAAAAACATTACACACATCATAAACAAACCGAAATATTTCGTGAAAGTCCAGGGAAAGGTGGATAATTTGTTGGAAAAATGCGCGATAACAGCGCAAGCGAATGTCAGAGCCTGGGCTCTTTATTTTCAATTAGTGGGTTAAACCCAGACTTGGATGTGAATGATATTTCTGACGTCGAGCATTTGTGTCGTCTCTGCATGTTAAGCTGTGAAAAAGACCCTAAACTCGTAATGATACAGATAGCCGGAGACAATCCACTTTCTAATACTCCTATCGTGGATCTTTTTAGGGATGGACTCGACATTGATGTAAGTCTTTTAATATTTAAGATTGTTGTGATGTCCTAACCTACATCAGATAACATGTAAACAAGTGTGTCACTATGAAATGTACCATTTTACCCTTTCAAGATTTTACATTTTACTTCTTTTTTTTTAAATTTGTAAATGTGATACTTTTCAGATTAAAAAATCAATGCCAGGCATGCCCACTCAGGTTTGTGCATCCTGTTTATCGCAGCTGTGGACCTTTACCAAATTTAAGAAAAAATCTCTTGGCGTAGATGCCAAACTGCAACATTTAGTGTCAAGAAAAATAAAACTTGCTGAGGTTTGTTACAGATTTATTTCTAACAGAACTATGTCCTATCGATAGCAAAGAGTAATGCCCCCTGTAATCAATTTTGTCTTCAGGCTCGCGCACTGTATGGATCTGCTCTGGTTGATGGAGAGAGACCCTCGTCTCCTGCTCCTCTTGACTTCAACACTGTTGAACCAGACATTTCTGAACAAACTCAGCAAACAGTTGAAGATAATCTCCTGAACATTGAACAATCATCACTAGTTATCTGCCATGAAAGTGATGAACTTGGACCTAAAAGCTCTGAACTTCAGGTACAGGGCAGCAAGACAGATTTTGTTTGCTCGTCACCCTTTCAGGATAATATTGATCACCCAACTATGCAAGGAAACATTGTCGACTCGAAGTTAACTGTTGAAGTACCTTCTCAGAAGGCACAAGCTGAGCTCACCCAGTGCATGTATAATCCACAAGAAAGTGTGAATACAGTACCCAAGATACTTCTAATTTCTACAGATGTCAGTAGATTGATAGAACACAATGCCACAATTAGCGGACTAGCAAATAGTGATAAAATAGATACTCTTTCTGAGAGTATATCACAATTCACCTTTAAAAGTACAAAAAGTCCTCAAGTCCTTGACACATCATCTACATGTCCAGTACCTGTCCAGAAAACGACTACTACGGAAGTGGTGAAGCAACCTTCTTTACCATGTAATATTTGTGACAAGACCTTCAGCAGTGTTAGTCAACTAAAAAAGCATGAAGCATCTCACTCCAAATGTAATGGAGTCGTCTGTACAGTTTGTAACAAATGGTTTAAAGGTAAAAATGCCTTGACACGCCATGAGCGTATTCATTCTGGTGAAAAACCTTTTAAATGTATTTTGTGTGATCGTGACTTTACTCAGAAAGAAATTCTTCAAAGGCATATTCTAACTCATACAGATGATAAGCCATTTGCATGTAATGATTGTAACAAGAGTTATACCCAGAAAGAGGGACTTGCCAATCATGTTAAGCAACATCATCAAACAATATACGAGATACGACAGTATCCTTGTCTTCTCTGTGAGAAGGCATTTTGCCATCCATCAGGACTTTCCAGGCATATGATGATTCACTCAGGCAAGCAATTTTCATGTGATATTTGTAAAAGGACCTTCACTGATGTATCATCATTTCGAAGACACAAAAAAACTCAGCATGTGTCAAGTGTACAAAATAAATGAAGTATGTATTAAATTTCAAATACGGACAGCTTTTTGACTGAATTCCTAACATCCTACATTACCAGTACTGTGAACAGCAACAATAACAAATTACATAAAATGACTAGTCAAAGATACCTTGCATTCAACTAGATTATCAGGGGAAGAAAAAGGAACCCGTGTCAAGTTTGGGAAAGACATTTAATAATATAAAAAGCATTAATAAAGCCTCATGTCATGTTGGTAAATAATATGTATAAAATTCAACAAACATCAAGTGAGTAACATTTAGTATTCCTCACCACCCTCATCCCCATCAACTGAGTCCATACCAACTTCTTCATAGTCCTTCTCCAACGCAGCAAGATCCTCGCGTGCCTCGGAGAATTCTCCCTCCTCCATACCCTCTCCAACATACCAGTGAACAAAGGCACGCTTGGCGTACATCAGGTCGAATTTATGATTGAGGCGAGCCCATGCCTCAGCAATGGCTGTGGTATTGGAAAGCATGCAGACTGCTCTTGCAACCTTGGCCAAGTCACCACCAGGGACGACGGTTGGGGGTTGGTAGTTGATGCCAACCTTGAAGCCAGTAGGGCACCAATCAACAAATTGGATGCTCTTCTTAGTTTTGATGTTGGCGATGGCGGCATTGACATCCTTGGGCACAACGTCACCTCGGTACAAAAGGCAACAGGCCATGTACTTTCCATGGCGAGGGTCACACTTCACCATCTGGTTGGCTGGCTCAAAGCAAGAATTTGTCATTTCAGCTACTGACAGTTGCTCATGGTAAGCCTTCTCAGCAGAAATTACAGGGGCATAAGTGACAAGGGGAAAATGAATACGGGGGTAGGGCACCAAGTTGGTCTGGAACTCTGTCAGGTCAACATTCAAAGCTCCATCAAATCTGAGTGAGGCTGTTATTGAAGAGACAATCTGGCCAATAAGACGGTTCAAGTTGGTGTAAGTGGGGCGCTCAATATCCAAATTACGGCGGCAGAGGTCATAGATGGCCTCATTGTCAACCATGAACGCACAGTCAGAGTGCTCAAGAGTTGTGTGAGTGGTGAGGATGGAGTTGTAGGGTTCCACAACGGCAGTAGAAACCTGAAATTAAATATAAAAGTTAGATTAAAATAATAGATAGACATAATTTTCTAAAAATATTGTCTGTTCATGTTTTACCTGGGGTGCAGGGTACACAGCAAACTCCAGTTTACTTTTCTTGCCATAGTCCACAGAGAGACGCTCCATTAAGAGAGATGTAAAGCCTGACCCGGTACCACCTCCAAATGAATGGAAGATGAGGAACCCTTGCAGGCCAGTGCACTGATCAGCCAATTTGCGGAGACGGTCGAGCACGATGTCAACAATCTCTTTGCCAATGGTGTAGTGGCCACGTGCATAGTTGTTGGCAGCATCCTCCTTGCCAGTGATGAGTTGTTCTGGATGGAAGAGCTGGCGGTAGGTGCCAGTTCTGACCTCATCAACTACAGTTGGTTCAAGATCGATGAAGACAGCTCTAGGGACATGCTTTCCAGCTCCCGTCTCCGAAAAAAAGGTGTTGAAGGAATCATCGCCTCCACCCACGGTCTTGTCTGAGGGCATCTGCCCGTCAGGTTGTATTCCGTGCTCCAGGCAGTAAAGTTCCCAGCACGCATTGCCGATTTGCACACCGGCTTGCCCGACATGGACCGAGATACACTCACGCTGAAATCATAGAAAAAATGGCACCCTGTCAGACAGTCCCCGCAAACACAATTTCTTGGCGTCTATTTCAGGGGCAGAACACTCCACATTTCCTGGAGCCAATGCAGACCGTGCAGTGAAGCCTTAGCTGTAGCACTGAGTCATGTCACAGGAAGTGACACTCCCCCCTCTCAGATTTCAGCCCCC